ACGCTGACACTGTCAATAGACGCCCTCCCCCCGGAAGACCGCCCGTTATTGCCTTTTTTCCTTTTTTCAATAATTAGGCCGTTTGGTTCCGTGAACTGCCATTGGAGTGTTCATCGCCAAGCAAGTCGGCTGTGGTTAAGGTACACCCACTACTAAAGTCGGCACAACGGTCAGAACAGTACGACACATCTTCCGTGCAAAAGCTCAAGCCGGCATCGACAAACACGGCAGCGATTAGCACATGCACTAGCTTACATCACCGTTCCAGAAGGAAGGACGACACGGACAAAACCTGCAGGATTTTAGGGATACAATAATCTTTTTTATGTACGCAGGCAACCAGCAGGCCGGAAAATCTGCTGCAACCAGGAAGGATTATGCTTCTTCACTATCGCTGGAAAAATTGCAGCCTGAACTCAACAGTAGAGTTAATTTTGTCATGAGGATTGGACAAATGCGGCCAGATCGCAGTTCGTAGCCCGAAATGCGGAAGCTTGCCTGAGATGAAAGCCCTGACTCTAACCGTAAAACCCTAACCAAAACACTAACCCTAAAACCCCAACCCTAACGATAATCTTAACCCTAAAACCTAACCCAAACCTTAACTCAAAAATCGTAACCCTAACACTAAACCCTAGCCCTAATCTTGACCCTAGCATTAACCCTAAACCCTCACCTCAACCCTAAAACCTTACCTTAAAGCCAAAACCCTAACCCCAAACCCTAACCCTTACCCTAAAGCCTAACCCTAGCCCTAACACTAAAACCGAACCCTAAAACTCGAACCCCAAAACTCAAACCCTAACCCTTAAACGTAATCCTAGGACTAACCCTAACCCTCATTAAGCCAAACAACCTGACCGAAACGGGCGACCTGCCTAACTCAGTAGAAACACACCTACTGATAATATGTTTCCTTGACAAGGGAAACACACCCACTGATTACAAATACGTCGACAACATCAACTCATAATGTCTGGCTACGAACTGCGATCTTACCGGAAAATGCTGCAGAGCCACGGCCTATGGCGAAACGCGAACACGTGCCATGCAGCGGCCCACTCCGGCCGCGGCACGTTAACTCGGACAGGCAATTAGCGTACGTTGCAATATCGAGCTCGCGTGATGGCTTCGCTCACGCGTGCGGGCGAATATTCGAGACTTTACTCGGGGGAGGGGGGTCTCGCGCTCGCGATGGCCAATCCGCGACCGGCACGCCATAGAACGCTCCCAACGGCTGCACAGCATTGGCCGGAATGTTCCAGAACGCGTAATGTGTCCTTCTGGCGAGTAAAAAGCCCTCGTGTTCGCATGCTGTCGTTGAAGTGCTTCTTTTCTGAGCCGGCTAGCTTTCTGTCCCACCTGACAGTTCGACCATCGATTTCGATGATGTCCACCGTGTGCCCCACAGCAGGTTGGAGCAGGGACGGTGACTTGCGCAGGGGTTTATAGTGCCAGTAGACTTGCGCTGCATCTACCTACACTCTCTCCACCTCCCTCGACAGAGCCCGGTGTCAAGACAGAGTCAAGAAGACCGGAGACGAGGGAGGCCGCAGGTGGATGGCTCGGACGGATCCTCACCTTGGCGTTCCACCACACCCCCTGGTCCACACAACAATAACCAGGATTTCAATCAACACAACAGAGATTTGGAGGCTGGCACGGCCGAAGCCGCACCTAGGCGTTCCGCCAACGCCTGCCTGTCCCACCTACCTGTCGGGTCACAGCAAATTTAATCTGAGGCGGGGACGTATTAAGAGAGCCAATGGGAGCCTCGAAAAGACTGTTTGGATTTCAAAATAATCTGCGCGGTCTCGTAACTGTGACGGATGCCAGGAAATTGTGGACCAGTCCAGACGTCACTTCGTGAATCACACGGAAATCTTTTGGGTGCTGTACAGATGCGGCCTCTGAAAAGCAATAAAAGTGTACAACCTCGAATGATTTACTTTAATGGTCAAGCAGTTTTACAGCGGCATAAGAGCGAGAACGTATGGCGCAGAGTGAATCGTATCAGACTTCTGCCCGGTAACGAATGAGGTGAAACAAGTCTGTGTCCTCGCCCTAACCCTCTTTATGCTCATGTTCTCCGCAATGCTGATGAACGCTTTCCGACAGGACATAACATACATCCGTAAAAAACGATCGAATTGGATAAATACTGATCAAAATCC